CAGCGCCTGGTGCGCGAGATCGCGCAGGACTTCAAGACCGACCTGCGTTTCCAGAGCTCTGCGGTGATGGCTCTGCAGGAAGCGAGCGAGGCCTACCTTGTGGGTCTGTTTGAGGACACCAACTTGTGTGCCATCCATGCCAAGCGTGTCACCATTATGCCCAAGGACATCCAGCTGGCCCGCCGCATTCGTGGCGAGAGGGCGTAAATGTAGTGAATGAAAAGTTGAACCCAAAGGCTCTTTTCAGAGCCACCCACATTTTCTCTAAAAGACTGTATCGTTGTTAATCTATTAAGAAACTCCACTCAGTCCTAAATTACTTGGTATTCTGTAATTGTCTTTAACATCTTATAAGGCCTGCACAGATTTGGACTTTAAACACTTATCCAAATCGTGCTATTCATACTTTTTTGTGTTTGGAGTTCTTGGACTTTTGTCTTACTTGACACCAGCTACACCTTTGCCTTTCAATTACTTTAGTTACCTTGTGGAGGTTATGGTGCAAAGGCAGAATTCTGCCTTTCCTTAACCTGTTAGAATCTCTTAGAAGATTCCTTCTTAGAACCTTGAATTTGATGAACCTGTGCACGTTCTAACTGCTAGTTCTGCTTCCTTTTTTACCATGGCTAAGTAAATGCCATGTCTCTTGAAATACACAGTTTCTCTGGAGAGAAACTTGAACTGTGGGACCTTGCAGGCCTTGCTGGTAGTCAGAACTTGAGCTGACAGCACCAACTAAAGTTAAACTGTCAGCAAGCAAGAATTAAGGGACACTGCTGTCGGGTTGGTGCCTAACTCATTCCTCTGTGTGCTCTCAGGTACAGCGTCTTAATTTTGAAATGGGTTATAAATCAGGATAACCACCACAGTGTGAGAGTGGACATTCACACTCACCATTCCTGTACTCGAATGGTGAGGCAGGGAATTTGGAGACCAGCCTGGGATACAAACAAGTTTAGACATTATCTAGGTTAGTAACATTGTCTTAAAACAGTAAAGAAAGAATAGGATAGAGAAAGCGCTTACTAAGAGCACTTTCTGCTCTTGCAGAAAACTCTCGTTTGCTTCTATGCCAGGGGAGCCATGCTGCTTATAGTTCCCATCCCTGGGGGATCCTGTGCCTCTTGTCTCCCGTGGGACCTTCATTCTTGTGTACATATCCACCAAACAGAGACATAAGTATACACAATTAAAAATAAATATTCAAGGGAGGAATGAAAACCCTGAGGAAGGACAATGCTGATCTTTACTCTGGATTGCTGCAGCTTTGGGAGTCTCATGTTTTCGTTCTCCAGTATTTAATCAAATAGCCCCCAAAGAGTTGTGCTGGGTATGTTTCGTCCACTTGACTCACATGAAGGTCACTTGAGAGGAAGGAAGCTCATCCTAAGAAATACCTTGATCAGAATGTGTGGGTAAATAGGCCGCAGCAGAGGTGGATTCCCGGAGGCTTTCCACACTGTCAGGTCCCACATACAAGAGAAGGTCTAGGGTTCCAAAGGCTGGGGTCTTTGGCAGCGGCAGGTCCTAATGACACAACAAAGCCCTTTGTTCCAAAAGGGTTTATTATCATGGTGGATGGGTCTGGATGTACTCCCCTGAAACTCAGGGCAGACCTGAGTTAAATAGGGAGGGAGAAAGGGGGAGGATCTGGGGAGGAATGCTTAATTTGCTCCGCCCTCTGGCCTTCATTAGTATGTAAATCCCTAGGGCCTGAGGCCTGTAGTCACGCCCTCTACCTGTGCAGTTTGGGAGGGGCTGTAATGGCCTATGTGACTGAACAATGTAGTTCTATGGAGACTAGACTGCTTTTCAGGACCCTGGGTTCTGGGGATGTGGCTGAACACCTGCCGTTTCTCCCTTGGAGTCTCGGGGTTCCAGGCCCATGCTCAACCATGAACCAAGGTACCCTTATGCAGTCCCACAAGAAAGTCTGTAGGCAAGTCTGTAAGACATTGTCTTGATTAATGATTGATACGGAACACCACCATTCACTATGAGTTGTGCTACTCTTGGGCACGTGGTCCTGTGTTTAGGCTGAACAAACTATTAGCTCCATGGTCTCTGATTCTAGTTCTGTCTCCAAATTCCTGCCTTGAATTCCTGCCTCACTTCTTTCAATGAGGACTATGATGGGGAAATGTTAGTCAAACCCTTTCTTCCACAAATTGATTTTTGCCATTGTAACAATACAAAACAAACTAATGTAAACTTCATCAAAGACTGAGTCTTTCAGAGAACTGAGAGGCAACTATCTAAATAATTTCTCTCTATATATACATATATCTTTTGTATATATTATACATACATACATACATACATACACACACATACATACATACATACATATCCATCTTATCTATCTATCTATCTATCTATCCATCCATCCATCTACCTATCTAATTTTTTTTTTTTTTTCTGAGACAGGATTTTCTTGTGTAAGCCCTGGCTGTCCTGGACTTGCTTTGTAGACCAGGCTGGCCTCAAACTCACAGAAATCCTTCTGCCTCTGTCTCCCCAGTGCTAGAATCAAAGGTGTATACCACCATGCCTGGTTATCTGCTTATGTTTTTAATTGTGGGCTCTCTAGTAAATCATACATTCTTGGGTTTTTAGACTCTAAACAATGACTTGGTCTTCCATTGAGATTTACTTTAAGAATCAAAGATCTGCTTTGTGTTTTAATAAGTGTGCTTTTTTGGTAATTCACCACAGGCATCACAGTAACAGATACTCATCACTTTGTGATCGGAAAATTCTATTGGACCAGACTAATTATTTTAATGGATTTTTCTTGATTATTTGGAGGTTGGATTTACTTTTGGATTTCCCCTGTTCAAAATCTCCCTCTCCCTCTCCCTCCCCCTCCCCTTCCCCTCTCCCTCTCTCCCCCTCTCCCCCTCTCCCACTCCCCCTCTCTTTCCCCCCCCCCCCCCCCCCCCCGCTTTCTCCTCAGAAAACAAGAAATGCAGTAACAGATGTCTCTAGAGAGTAGTTGGGATTCCACAGACCAATGTACTTTCCCCATTGTCAGAAGGCTTTGCCACTCCATTTTCTGTGGTCCTGGGACCTTACTGGCTTTTCCTTTTTTGTTTGGAAAGCAGCCATTTCCTTGTTAGAAAAGGAAATCAGTTCCTTTTCTAACGTGGCTCTTCCATTCTTGCTTATCACCAAGTTCAATCTATCACATTTGGTGAGTTTTACAGAAAATCCATGTTTATCTGTCATTACTTAGGCTTCCCATCGGTTGTGATTGTGCTGGGACTGGAGACCGAGTAGAAAGTGAAGCTGAGAAGACTCTGCTGCACCCCAGGTGAAAAATTAGCATATGGAAAAAAGGTTGTTATAAGGAAGTTTGGAAAGCACTGTTCAGTCCCTCATCACATCTGTCACTCTTGGAGGAGAAAGAGTACTGTGTAAAGTCTGAAGGTGACCTCAAAAATTCACCATTTGGAGATTTGGAATACCAGTAAGAGTGAACTGTAGGAAGCTGTAAACCAATAATAAATATCTAACAGCACTGTGAGAAAGCCCATGCTATTCAGATGACCTCAAAGTTATTTATGAGAGACAAAAGCCCCATAGTCAGCTTTTTGTTCTGGTTGGCTTCCTTCCTTGGATGTATATTCCTTAATAAATTGTCCCAGTTTTTGATGCAACTGTGCATCTCTGTTCAATGTTTTGTTCCTAGACAGAAAAATGTGGGACCTTTGGGGAATATGCTTGTACTGACCTAGGAAGATAATCCATGTTAGGCATGATAATTCTGCTCATGAGAAAATGAAGAAATATTAAATTTCCTATAATCTTTCATGTTTGGGAGATTTATCAATACCGAAGAAAGAACACCAATTATCAATGATTGGAACAGACATTAAAAGATCTGTACACTCATAAGACATAGAAATGTGACTATAAGATTAAGATGACAATCTCATACCTTGCAAAGCAGAGTGGAAGGAGGGTACAGTAAGGACTGTGGCCCCAGCACTCTTATGTCTATCTTGAAAGATTTCAAAGCTGATTCAAGAGGGATATCTAGTCTTACATAGAGGTTATTTGGCCCATGACCTTAAAAACATCTCTCCATTATTAAAAATTCAGACTTGATTTATTCTCTATAAGGTTTGACCTCTACTCCTGAGAAGACTGAAAGTTATGTTTACTATTCCTCTATAAAAATCTGTAAGAATAATTGAAGGACAAAAATAGTAATAGTACCCTTCAGTTGCAGATTATTGGACATCTCTTATATATTATTATAAGAAATACAATTTCATTTCAACCCTGTTCCCCCCCACACACACACAACCTTACATTAGCACAGCCTATCTTCGAACTCACTATGTACCTGAGATTTATTTGTATCCGATATTCCTGCTTTAACTTCCTAAGCAATGCTGGGATTACAGGAGTGCATTACCAGCAGCCCATTGTATATAGTCCCCAGGATTGAACCCAGTGTTTTTATACTAGTCAAGCACTCTACCCAGTAAATATTCACATAAAGTTTTAATGTTTCTTTCTGAACATCCAGAAACTCAGAGTTTTTGAATTCTGCAGGGCTCTTCTAGAAGAGTGATTCTAAAACATTGTTTTGGGGCATAGACTCATTTGTAGAGCAGAAGAAAATATTCTGCTCCTTCCTAGAAGAGTAATGTAGATATAGAAAACAATGCAACTGTATTAGCATTTTATTTATTTTATTTATTTTTTACAAGCAATGTTAGAACTTTATAGATTGTTCACACATATACACACTCACCCCCCCCCC